TGGAGTGCAGTGGCCGCTCCCGACCACCGCAGCCTCAACATGATGGGCTCCGGCGATCATTCCGCCTCAGCCTTCCAAGTAGCCGGAATTACAGGCATGCGCTACCATGCCCGGCTGATTTTTTGATTTATTGTAGAGACGAGGTATCGCTGCCCAGGCGGGTCTCGAACCCGCAGGCTCAGGCAATCCACTCACCTCAGCCTCCCAAGGGCGCGGGATTACAGGCTGAGTCACCAAGCCCAGCTAGAATTAAGTATTGTAAAATCGTCCTGTGTCCATGAAAATAGCTGCTTTTCCCCTTCACAAGTCAAATTGTTTTATTTTTTATTTATGTATCTATTTTTGAGTTGGAGTCTCACTCTGCTGCCCAGACTAGATTGCAGTGGCCACTCCCGGCCACTGCAGCCTCGACCTGCTGGGCTCTGGCGATCCTTCCGCCTCAGCCTTCCAAGTAGCTGCAACTACAGGCGCGCGCTACCACACCCGGCTCATTTTTTGATTTATTGTAGAGATGAGGTCTCGCCATGTTGCCCAGGCGGGTCTCGAACCAATCCTCTAGCCCAGGCGGGTCTCGAACCAATCCTCTAGCCTCCTCTTCCCAAAGTGCTGGATTATAGGCGTGAGTCACTGCACCCAGTCACATTTGAAAATATTAACATAAAAGTCTACATGGGGAAATAAATGGATTGATAAAAATTGTTTTTGGGTCTGGGCCGCCCTGTCACCCAGACTGGAGGAGTGATGGGGAACAGATCACCGGGCTAAGGCCGTCCTCTTGCTCAGGACTCCCAAAGTGCTAGGATTTACAGGTATGAGCCACCAGCCAGGATTTGGATGGACATTTTATGTTACTTTTTGTTTGTTTTTGAGTCAGAGTCTCACTCTGTCACCCAGGCTGGAGTGCAGTGGCACACTCACGGCCACTACAGCCTTGACCTGCTGGGTTCAAGCATCAGCCTTCCAAGTAGCTGGAACCACAGGCATGTGCCACCACGCCCGGCTAATTTTTTGATTAGCCAAGAGACAAGGTCTTGCCAAGTTTCCCAGGCTGGTCTCAAACCCTGGGCTCAGGCAGTCCTCTTGCCTCTGCCTCTCAAAATGCTAGGATTATAGGCACAAGCCACCATGCCCGGCTAGTCCAATTGTTTTATAAAGAATTGTAGTTGGAGCCGGGCTTGGTGGCTCAGCCTGTAATCCCGCGCCTTTGGGAGGCTGAGGTGAGTGGATTGCCTGAGCCCGCGGGTTCGAGACCCGCCTGGGCAGCGAGACCTCATCTCTACAATAAATCAAAAAATTAGCCAGGCGTGGTGGCACATGCCTGTGGTACCAGTTACTTGGGAGGCTGAGGTGCAAGGATCGCCTGAGCCCAGCAGGTCGAGGCTGCAGTGGCCATGAGTGTGCCACTATACTCCAGCTTGGGTGGCAGAGTGAGACTCCGACTCAAAAAAAAAAGAAAGAACACCTTAAGTCAAGGTGCCAGAAACCTAACTCAGAAGGCAAGGAGGAAGGAGAAGCTCAGAGCAAATTCCATCTGAGAGAAGGGGGATTAAATACTGATAGAGATGTAACCACTAAAACAAAATGCAGGCCGGGCACAGTGGCTCACGCCTGTAAACCCAGCACTTTGGGAGGCCAAGGCAGGAGGATTGCTTGAGCCTAGGAGTTCGAGACCAACATAAGACATAAGGGCAACATAAGACAACCTCGTCTCTACAAAAATAAAAAATAAATTAGCCGGGCATGATGGTACACACCTGTAGTCCCAGCTACTCGGGAGGCTGAGATGGAAGGATCACTTGAGCCCGGGAGGTCGAGGCTGTGGTGAGCCATGCAACAAAATGAAACCCCAACTCAAAAAAAATTCTTTTTGTTAAAATAAAAATAAATTGAATGCATGTGGAAATATTAAGTATTAAAAGTTTTTCTTTTGTAAAAGAAGAACCAGGGCAAAAGAAATAGATGCTTTTACAGAATTGTTTTTAAAAAGTATATTACTTCAATTTTCCTTAAGCTGACCCTGGTCACAAGACAAGGATTCCTGAGTGTGTTGCCCACATTTCCTTGTTTGACACCCAGGTGCCAGGATGGCATCGCCCAGGCCTCGGTGTCTCACCCGGATGCCTTGCGCTGAGTACCTGTCAGGAGGATTGCATCTCTGAGTTTACAAAAAAGATGTTCTCAGCCGGGCTCGGTGGCTCAGCCTGTAATCCCGCGCTTTGGGAGGCTGAGGTGAG